TCCGGAGCCTGTGCTCCGCAACAGGAGAGGCCACAACAGTGAGAGGCCCGCGTACTGCAAAAAAAAAAAAAAAAAAAAAAAAAAGAGGGGCAGGGCAGGGTTCCAACCTAGCTGTGTCAACCTCAAAGCAGAGTTCCAGGTGTCCCGAGGTGGGCGTTCAGGGGCAGGCTGGGGCAGGTCTGTGGGGTGGGAGGGCTGCCTACACCCGGGGCCCCTCTTCAGAGAGTATTTCAGTGGGGCACATATTTTGGGTTCAATCACTAGGTGTGGTAACTCGGCCGTTTTGCCTTCCTCTCTCTCTCTCCTCGCCTGGACATGGCACTATTGTTCCCACCAAACACATCTGCGCAGATGCGCTCTCTGACTTAATGGAACCCACATCCCAGGATTGGGAGACGACCCCCTCCCCAGTCCCCCTGCTCTGATCTCTCCTCCCTACTCAGATGCTGGCCCTCCTGCCGAGGGCTATTCATGGGAGGACCAGACTCTGCCCAGCTCCCTTGGGAGCAAGGTGGACCTGGAGTGGGGCACTGGCTCCCTGCGGGCTGTGCAAGGCACAGGGCGGTTGGGACTTTGTCTTTGGGGCCGACATTCTTTCCTGGGAGAGTCCATGTTTGTTTCCTTTCCACCTGAAACCTGAGTCCCTTCTGTCACCTTTCTTCATTCCTGTGGTGTTGGTCACCATGGAACCTCTTTAGCCGTTGCTTTAGTGGAAGGAGTAGACAACGGTCAGTTACCTTGGGCCACCCCCTGCCTGAGTGAGGACACCGAGGCCGAGGGTGGAGGAGCCAGCCATCTTGGGCAATCCAGAACTTCGGGGGTGAGGACGGAACCCTGGTCCCCAGAACCCCCTGGCTGTTAGCACTTTAGGTCAGAGGCTGGCTTTTCCAACAGGGGACATACTCCTTGGTGCCCAGGACAGTGCCAGGTCAAATGGGGGTTCAGTGAATCGTGCCTCAGGGGTCAGCACTAAGTACTGTCCATGCCAAACTCGAAAGCTTTGTCCACATTTGGAATGGAATTTCTGATCCTGGTTTTTATAGTTTGGACATAGATCTTTAAGTTCCCACCAGGTCCTGGGGAGGTGGCACCCACTGCTCTCACATGAGACATGCTTGTCCGTCCACAGCTGTGGGCACCTCCCCGTGGGCAGGCACTGAGGAGGCCCTGCATGTAGACCCTGCGGGCCCGAGGGCTCAAAGGTGTGGATGCAAGCGGTGGGCAGGCCTAAAAGGGGCTCTGCCGACAGGGTTGCCTGGGCAAGCTATGGAGTGGACCCACGTTTCCCTTCTGTACTGCTGGTGTCCCTCAGGGAACGGGGGAACCTGGGCCGTCTTCGTCCGCCAGGGAGTTTGTGGCGAGTCGGGTGGAGGGCCGGCTCGCTCAGAAGGTGCCGCTGGACCTCACGTATCTGTGCTCTAAGGCAGCTCCAGATCTTCTCTTTAGCCTTCTAGACGTGATGCTCTGGTGGGCAGATTGAGTAGCAATATCCACTGTGGCAGCCTAAGGTCAGAAACAGGGCTGGTCTCTTAATATAAAGGGAATCTGAACTATAGCCCAGTGGTTCTCAATCCTGGTTGAACATCAGAGTCACTCAGAATTTAAGAAAAACACAAAACAAAAAACCCCAAACAGATCCCTGTGGCTGCTCCCTAGAAAACTCTACCTGGGGCCTGGGGTGAGGCCTTGGAATCTGTCATTTTAATCAGTTCCAGGAGACTCTGATCTGCGGCTGAGGTTGAGAACAAGGGCTGTAGCTAAATATCGCTTTTCCACGTGGAATTCGCACAGAAAGTCTGCGCTCTGGTTAGGAATGGGTAACAGGTGTCTGTGTGGCCTGCAACCCTCACTGCCCCCAAAGCCTGGACTCCAGCTCGTTTGCTTTAATTCAGCCGTGGAAGGTCTGTCCCCCCAGGAATGTTCCTTCTGGGCTTTGCCCAAAGCAGCCACCTTGCCAGTGTCTTGAGTCTCTCACTCAGTGGGGCGAGGAGTGGGGTGTTGGGAGCCGTGGAGCAGAATCTCCCTCCACGTTGCTCGGGAGAAGTGCCGTGTCCCTCAGCTATTCCTGGCAGCTTGTCACTACCATGTGGCCAAAGCCCTATCCCAGCTGTCAGCAGACAGGGGGTTGCCTTCTCCCCTGATCGTGAGGAAAATTCTCCTCAGACAGAGAACCCAAGTGGCTTGAGGCTGTAATCAGCGAGACCAGGCAAAAGCTGGGCTGGGGCCATGCTGGCTGGGACCGGCTGGAGCCACTGTTTGACCAGGAGGGTTGCTAGGAGCCGCTCGGCCTTCTGGGGCCTGGGTGGGGACGTGGCGGGCTGGCTTCCAGACGGAAGGCAGGATTTCTCAGTCCCTGGGTTGGGATTTGTTGCTCAGCAAAAGGAAGCTGGCATTGCATCCTGCCCTGTCCCCAGATGATATCTCGAGGGACCTACTCTCGAGTAGAAATTGGGAGATTTGGGAGATGTGGCCTTTGCCCTTGATTTTATCACTGATCAGCTCTGGCCGTTCACCTCCCTGCCTGTCAGGGTGAAAATGGGTCACTATTATCTCAGCAGAGAATTTAGAAAATTGTGTGAAGTCACAGCGTCTGCGGGGAGGCCCTTATCACATGGAAAAAGAATGAACTCAGGTCAAGGGCGGGAGCAGATGACTGACCCCAGAGGGTTAAGGGAGGCTGGGAAGAGGCTTGGCGTGCTCAAGCGATCAGTACAGGACAGTGAAATGGCTGAGAGGGTCTGAGGTTGGCTTGGTCAGCAAAGTGAGAACAAGGGCCAGGACCTTGGTACAGATGGAGACTGGCGCGCCTGAGAGAAAACTGGAGAGCTGGCCTCAGGGGAGGCCCTACCGCGTACCTGCGTGATAAGAGGGGTCACAAAGCTTGACACTCAGCGTGAGCTTCCAGGGCAGCTGGCAGAGTGATGAGGAAAGTAGCAACTGATGGGGAAACAAAGTGTTAGACTCCCCCTTGATAAACTCCACCTTCCCCAAGACCCCGAGCTGTCCATGAGCAAAGGCGGGTTCTTGGGTTTCACGGACACTCTTCACAATGAACTCGGCCTACAGTCATGCAGCCCGGGGACTTGGAAATTTTGAAGCATCCAAGAGAGTCCAAATGTTAAAAAAGAAGCGTCCTTTGGTTTAGTGGCAGATTTCTTCACTATAAGAATGCTTTAACTCCTGGTGGGCTTCCCTCGAAGTGGTATAAAAAGTGTTTGTGATTTGTACTGACTTCTTTCTGCCTCTCCCCATCATAGGTCCCTGGATGTTACAGGTTGGGGCCCTCTGGATGCTTGAGGATCGTACTCACGGCCCAGAAAGTAGCTGCTCCCTGCAGACCACCTCCCAGGTGCCTTCTCCACCCAGGGCACGAGCACCCGTGACGCTTTCCCCCCAGGTAAGGGGCACCTAGGGAAGTCATGAGGGGGTGGGGATCTTCCTCGGGTACTCCCAGGGGCTCCGCCTGGGGGATGTAGCTGGGCTGCCGGGCTTTTCCATCCGGGCCAGGCTGTCTGTGGGCCCTCCCTGCTCAGCCGTCCGTCAGGGGGCTCCCTGGCCTGGCTCTGGCCTCCTTAGCCTGAGCTTTGCCTCCACTCTCGAGCTGGTGGGCTGGCCGAGGGGCTGAGCATAGTCTTCTGTGGTGGGAAGGTGGAGATGGGCAGAGGATAGAGGAGTGGGGCCTCCAGGAGCACTGGCTGGCCCCGTTTCCTCAGCTGACAGGGCAGGAGAGTGGGGACAGTGTGGCCAGCTCTGTGGCGGGAGACTGGGTCCCAGGCCTGGCGCTGCCACTGGGAGCCAGCTGTGTGGGCCTCAGTCTCCTCTGCAGAGTGAGGGGATCAGAGGTCCTGCCCTGGAGAGAATGGGTGCTTGTGAGGTAGAGGGCCAATTCTCCCTGGAGGGCTTGGAGCAGGGACCTGGCGACCTCTTGGGAGGAGTGTGGAGAATCGGGAATGCCTGAGCAGTTCAGGAAACAGGCCGCGGTGCTCAGGGCAGAGCACCTGGGGAGCCCCTGAAGGATGCTGTGAAGGTGTAATGGGGGGAGGGGTTTGGAGCCAAGCTGGGGGGAGAAGTCAGGCCGAGAGGGCGGGGAAGAGTGGGCTCTGGTGGCGATCATGGTGCCCTGGCTGGCTGGAGTTGGGATGGCAAGCCCCCACGTGAGGGCCAGGCTCTGCTTTGGGGGACGGGCTGCAGAGACCCCGGGGCAGTCTGTCATCAGTCCTGGCCTCAGTGGACTCTAAGATGCCGCTCTCCCTGTGCTTCTGTCCCCTGGCAAGGTTCTGGCTCCGGTGGCCCTGTACTGTGGGAGCATCCCTTGGACCAGTGCTGGGCCCCGTACACTCCCGGGGGAAAGCAGTGACTCCAGCCCAAAGACTTTTGGAAAAGGTGAGACTGGGGGACTGGGCCTAGTGACTTGGTCACATCAAATGGCCTTCGAGTGCCCAGGGCAGCCTCTCTGGGGCCTTCGGGCAGAGATGGGGGATTCCACCTGACAGCTGCCCAGTCAGGGCCAGTGACCATGGAGCAGAGCTTGGGCCTCGTCCTGGAGGGAGGAGATGGGTGTGTTTAGATGCCCGGCTGTGTCCTCAAGTTACCGGCAGGTATTGTTTTTACTTTGGTCCCTACTGAAAATGCCCTTTGGTTTTAGGTGCCTCAGGGGATGGAGTTGTACGGAGGGGACCTGCAGGAACAGGGAAGTGGGGCTCTTCTAGGAACCCCGGGAAGGCAGGGCTGTGGTCCCTGGCTTCAGGACCTGGGCTCCTCTAGCACTGCAGCTCTGGTCTCTGCTTCCCTCAGCCTCCCGCCAGCCAGTGCTGAGCGTCCTGCTAGAGAAGCCGTCGCAGCTCTTGAGTGGACGTGGGGACCCTGGCAGCCTCAAGCTGGATGCTTCCCTGAAGGGCTGGCAGGCCAGGAATGGCCATCCCAGGAAGCTCGGGGCCCTGTCACTGGGCCTCCAGCCCCTGGTGCCACTTCCTTCGCTGGAGTCGGAGGCCAACTGGGTGGCCCGGGACACCACTCAGATTAAGGACAAGCTCAAGACAAGGAGACTCTTGGAGGGCTTGGCAGCATCTCCCCGAGGTGAGCCCTGGGCCTGTCCACCTGCCACCTGGGCTGTGAGGACCAGCAGGTGTCCAGCTGGCAGCTGGGCTAGCCAGGGGGCACCCGCCAAGCACCCTCTCTCTACACCCTCCACCTCCTCCCTGGAACGCCGTCTCCCACCCGGGCCTCTGCAGTAGATCCCAACCTGCCTCCCCATTCTCACCCTCGCCGCAGAGGAATTCTAGTCTTCGAGTCTTCTTCGCCGCAGAGGAATTCTTTTTGAACACAAATCTGACCATATTCTTCCCGCTCCCACCGGCTATGCTTAACGCCACCCAGTGGTTTTCAGAGGGACGCAAGGACTAGAACCTGCTGTCCTCACTCCTCATTCAGTACTGATTTTGTTTCCCTTTCTACCCAACCTGCCTCTGAATTTTAAATAGGTAACTTTGATTGACACTTTCTACCAAATTTTACAGGAGTGGGAAAGGACACTCAGCAGAGTCTAGTGGTGCGGGTAGAGCTGGGGGCGGATCTGCGCCCTCATCTCTCCGTCTCAGCTGCCCCAGGACATAAAGCCCTGTTGCCAGCATCTGAATTAACCCCATTCCCCGCACCCCTGGGACTAACCTACTCCCCGTCCCCACCCCATACAGCCTCTCTGGATCCTGGGGGAGCCCCCAAAGGAGTTCCCCTGAGGACCGCCATCCCCTGGGCTGCCTCTCAGAGGCTGCTGAGGGTGCCCAGGCCGGTGCCTCCCATCCAGAGCATCCCCACAACGCTGGAGGCCAGCGGAACCAAGGACAAAGGCCTGGACCCACCCAGGAGCCATCAGGGACCCCAGGAACTGAAAGCCGGTGCCCAGGAGTTAAGGCGGTTGGTGTCTTGCTTCCTTGCCCTTCTGTTTTTCTTTCTATCCTTTACCAACCCCTGTTCCCAAGCCCTGAGCTTCTCTGGAGGTGTCTTCTCTGGCTTGGGAGTTGCGCGAGAGGTACCGAGCCCAGTCCTCCTGAGCAGAGGCTGTGTGACCACCTGTCTTACACTTGGTGGTTCCCAAGCCATCTCTGATCTAAATGTTCCAGAATTCCTCATGCTTCTGGTCCTCCCCATTTTTGGTAAGGGACTGGGGCAGAGGGGAAAGAATGCTGGGCTGGGACTCTGGGGGTTTGGGTTCTGGTTTTCACTCTGCCCCTCACTGGTTGTGTGACCTTGGGCAAGTCACTCCCCTCTCTGAGCCCCAGTTTGCACTAAAAAGAGGGAATTGGACCAGATGTTTTTGAGGATCCCTTTCGGCCCTGACGTTCTAGGATTTTCTGAAATGAGAACAGAAAAACAAATAATAATAATAACAAAAGGGGTTGGAATAAGAATGAGGGGATTCCCTTCTTGCCTAAAATGGTAAGGAAACAATGAATCTGGGGGTCCCAGTGTTGTGTGGCTGGAAAGAGAAACAGAGGATACTTGCCAGCACTTCTGCCCAGGTGGCTGCTGATAGAAGGGACCGCTCTGTGTGAGGTGCCTGAGAGGTGAGCATCCAAAGTGGAATGTTTCATGGACCAGACCCCTCCTCCACCTCCGCTCCCAGGCGCAGGCCTCCCAGCAGTACCTGCACTGCAGTGACGAGAAGATGCACAAGTCCCTGGCGGGCATTGTGATCCCGCCCATCCCAAAGGACAGGGTGCCCGCCGGGACCTCCTCCTGCACGCCCGGCTCCCTTCCCAGCCTCTTGCCTCCAGGCCAGGACAACCTCACGGGCCTGAGGCCTGCCACCACAGGGTAAGCAGCGCTAAGTCAAAAGTACCTTGCAGTCCTCTCTCCCCTACCCCCCAAGATCCACTTGGGCTCCCTATGGCTAAACCTCCATGCCAGGGCAGAACTCTAGGGGCTGGGCGTGTGAGGGGCAAGGTCCTCCACTGTGAGCCTCAGACCTGGGGTGGTCACAGCTCTGACCCTTGACTCCAGCAGGAGGGATGTATGGGCTTAATTAACAATGTCTCGGCCTCTGTTTTCTACCAGTGTCCTGATGTGTGTGGTTGCCGCAGTGATGAATAAAATACAAATTATTTTAAAGCTCTATTGAATTAATGGTAGCTCTTTGTGACGACGTATTGATATTTTCTTAATTAACGGACACTAAAAAAACAAGTATTATCGTGTCTGTGTATATGGGGGGGAGTCCACAAAACTTTTGGACTTAAAAAGGGGTCTTCATACCCCCCAGAAGGCTGGGAATCAGCGGGCAGAGGATCTCTGTGTTGTAATGAATCTGGACTTACGGCTTGTACGTGCGACAGAGGGTGCTGTCCACATGGCCAAAGACATACCTGTCGTCAGGCCAGACTGCTGGAGTGACTGTGTATGTATGTGAGAGAGAGAGAGAGAGAGAGAGAGAGAGAGAGAGGGCGAGAGCGTGCGCTTTATTTGGGGTTGGCTGTACCTATTTCTCTCAAGCTCCTTCTCTCCCTCTGTCTCCCACGCTGTCTTCCCTTCTGACTGGAGGCGTGTCTACATCTTTCCCACCCGTGGTGCAGTGTGGGAACCCACTGTGGACCTGCTCCTGGGTTTGAGTTCTCTGCCTGATTTCTCAGTTGACCTCCCTCCTCCCCGTCGGCACTGCCTCCTCCTTTCCTGCTCAGACACCCTCCTCTACCTCCCCTCTGAGAGTTCTTGGTGGCTCTCATGACTCTCTGGCCCCAGATAAGTGACCCTCCCATCCCATCCCACTGCTCTTGACTGTTTTGCACCATCTGAGCTGTGGATGCCCTTGGACTCTTCTACCTCACCTTCCTGACTTTAAACCTGCTTCTCAACCTTCCAGGCAGCCTCCTGTGCACCTTCTTTCATCATTCCTTGAATTTGTTCCAGAGCCCTTTGCCCCCCACCTCCTTGTTCTCCCCTTGATCTTATCTGTGCAGTGGCTTCCAAGATCATGGGGGATGGGTGACTTCCGTGTCCCCTGCTCTCACCCTGAGGTCTCCCCAGAGTCAGGCTCTGTGCTTCCATCCTTCTGTTGAGCACCCTCAGGGTCCTTATGGCTGATGCAGATCCAGCATCAGAGGCAGGGAGGGAGGATGTGCCACCGTCACGGCATCACGGACAGAGCACCTCACGTTTCCCCAAGCTGCCTCCCTCCTACAACCTCCCGATTTCCACCAAGGTGCAGGTGTTCCCTTTGATCTTCCAATTTCAGCATCATCTTTGATTGCCTCCTGTTCCCAGCAGATTGCCACATCCCATTAGGTCTTTCTTGAACAGTAAGAGAAGATACAAAAGCTACCACCCCCGTCTTGCCCCTGCCTTTCCTCTCAGTTTGCATTTACTGGCTCCCTTTTGATCTCCCCCCATAGCTCTTACCCGGTCTCCTTGCAGCCTTGGGCTCTCCATCCTAATCTCGTGTTCTCATCCACGCCCTGAATACACCTCTTCCATGCATCTCACCTTTATGGACTTCCTGGTGCCAGCAGCTTAAAGGTGAGTCTCTCTGGCCAGACATTCAGCGTGTCCCAGGCCACCACTCCACACTTCCTCCTGTGCTGCTCTACCGGCTCCGACCCACCCTTCCCAGTGCCTGTGCTGAGCCCTGGAGGGCACCTCTCTGCAGCTCCAACATGAGCCTTTTCCCCTTGGCCCGCTGATCAGTTCCTACGTTTTTCAAGCCCCAGCTCCACATCTGCCCCCGC